CTAACAGTTTACTGGAACTACATGTTATGTGACCTAACAGGTGAAGGAGCTTCAAGGTCGTTTGGATGAAGATCGAAAAACATTGGAAGATCAATTAAGGTTGGAAGAAGAGCAGAGAAATCACATTCTCCAAGAAAAGGTCAACAAACTCTGACCTGTGGTAGATTGCTTATTTAAGTTTTTAAAAGAAATTTCTTTGGTAGATAAACTTTTACGATATTTTTATTTTATTTTTTTTAATAAAAGCCATTGAAGTGGAAAGTCATTTAAAATAATTGTGATTTAGTGATACTTCAAACCCAATTTGCAGGAGAAAGTGCTCCATCAGTTAGAAGAGGAAAAGGCCAACCTTGAGCGTGTATTAGAAGAAGAACGCCATCGTCTGCAGGAGCAACTTGAGGCGACAGAGTATCACAAAGAAGAATTACGACAGCAGGTATTATGTTCACATTTTTGTGTAGCGAATGATTTTTGCTGGTTTTAATAATTACTGTTTGTGTACACAGAAAGACTGAAAAATATTGTTAGTGATATCCTATTTTAGGGTATATTTTTGTGATGATTTTCACTATGTTAAGATGATGTTAGCTTAGACTTAAATCATATTATTTGTCAGTCTCTGGAAATCCTATCTTCAACCCATTTGTTCTTGTGATTCAGCAAGTCGTGTTAGTACCACCACCTATCAGACCTGTGTTCCTGTTGTTAGCCATGGCTTCCAAAAAGTGATCATTGCATTTCATATCATCTCCAGCATTATACTATTAGAGATCTTATGTTGTTTTGATGCCAATGAGACAGAGAGTCAGTTTGTTTGTCAATACAGCAGCACATTGAGAAAAGCTACTTTCTGAAGTGCTCATTGAAAAGAAAGTCAGTCAGTTTTATGACCTTGTGGAAGTTGTTGAAGCAAGCTAATTCTCTCTCAGGTGGTTTGATCATTATAAGGACAGACATGGTATTCACAAACTTGCTATTGCAAGAGACAATTTTTTTCCTAATTATGATTTCCATTTTTTATTTTTTTATTTTATTTTATTTTTTCTGAGGAATTCACTAATCCAAAAAGTGGTTGATCTGGACCTCGTTCAGTAAACAGTAAAGACATTTTGCTGTGTAACTACATAGAATAATAACCACATTATTCTGGCTGACAGTGGTATCACTGAAGAGTATAGTAGTTTCTTGAAGCCTAAGTATTCATTGTTTCATAAATTTTGACAGTTAGAAGCCAAAGAATCTGCAATCCTTGCTAAAGAAGTTGAAAAGAAGAAGGCAGAACAGGAGAAAGAAAGGTTGGAAGATGAGTTGGCAAAGGAGCGACTCAGACTTGCAAAGGAACTAGAAAGCGTTAAAAATCATTATGTAGAAAAAGAGCGGAAAAATTTCCTTCTTGGCTCTATGCTGAAAGAGAAGGAAGAGTCGTTGCGTACTGAATTGGTAAGTGATGTAGATTTATCAGTTCATTATATCAGGTCAGTTTATTAATGCTCATGTAAGTGGATGACTAGAAAGTATGGCATTGAATAGGTTATGGATATATGATTTGTTATGCTGAGTTCAGTCAAGTGCCAGGGATAAACCAGATGGATACTTGAGGTTCCTCTGTAAAGGGAACACTTGCAGAACACATACGGTGGTTAGAGAGCATGACTGACAAGAAATTGAGTGAGATGTTATGGTTGGTCTTGATTCCAGCTGCCATAAATCATAACAGAAAGAGGCTTGTGAGAGCGGGGACATGTAAGATTAGCCACCGTAGCTTTATCATCTGATAATTAAACACCTTAATGCTAACTTATCATAACCGAACCTGATGCTTACCTTAACTAACCTACCCCCCCCCCCCTACCAGGTAGCATATAGGTTTTTAATTACCAAGTGAAATAGCTTCATGCAATCCCAAGAGTTATGAAATAGATGAAGAGCTTTGGTTAAAATTGTGAATGAAAGGGGGTTCTTTATTCAGATGCATATATCACCAGTAACAGCAGAAGTGGATAAATCTACAGCCATCGAGTGTTCATTATAGCGAGATTCGACCTTTTTTCTGAAAGATGGCAAGAGGAAGTATTTTTGTTAGAATTTGCACACACATTGTAATACAGTAAGTCCTCGCTTAACGTCGTTGTTCTGTTCCTGAAAACCGCGACGTTAGCGGAAACAGCGTTAACGGAATTAATTTTCCCCATAAGAAATAGATAAAATACGGGAGTTACGTTCCCCAGCTTCCCTTTGAACCATGAAATACATTACATATACATAAATTCAACGGAATTTTAATAGAAAATATTTTATATTCTACATCCAAACAATAAATAAACTAAATCATTTTGTATTGTACTCACTGATGGGCGGAGATTTAGCGAATGTGTGGGTGGGTAGTGGAGAGGAGAAGGGCGGCGAGTGACTGAGACCCGGAGGGTGGCTGCTCCTCCCGCTCTGACTGGGTGAGAGAGGGCGATGTGCCGTACAAAATAGTCCATGACGTTGTTATGCCGAATCTGCGGGACGTCAGAATCATGGGTATTTAAAGATTATCGACGTTATAATGAAACAATGTTGTTGGGGGCAACGTTAAACGAGGACTTACTGTAATGTTAACAGGGCTCTCTTTAAAGTCGGCCAGAACTTGTCGTACATTTTGTTATATAGATGAATGTGTATTTTTAACAATTCCTTAAAAGTTGAACCTTAAAGAAAAATAGTGGCTGTGCATTCCTCCATGTTGAAAGTAGAAACTTAAATTGTGCATAAATGCACTGAACTTCCTAGTTGATAGAATGTGAATGTTAAATAGTTTCAGGTGATAGATAGTGTATGGGTGATGCATAGTATGTGGTTAACAGATAGTTTAATGGCTGATGGAAAATAGTACATAGATGAAGTACAGTATATAGTTGATCAAGAATAATATTCTTAAGGTTGATTCTGTTATATCTTTCTCAGTTAAGTGGCTTACAAAATGAATTGCAAACCCTGGAAGCCCAAAATATGTCCTTAGAACAGGAACTTGAGTCAACAGCTGTAGCAACAAAATATGCGAGGGAGGAAGTGGTGGAGTCTGTCTCTGGCGTCTTAGAGAATGAGCTTCAGTGCTCTATCTGCAATGAACTCCTCATTACTGTAAGTAAAACTAGAATTAAATTTTTTATGAAACACTTAAGGAAAATAGTAATGAATTTAAATGGATTGAATATGAATTTAGGTGAAAAAAAGTATATGTTCAGTATTCAATTGAGTGAAAGAAATTAAACATTTCAGGCCATAACGTTGAACTGCAGTCACACGTTCTGTAAATATTGCATCGACCGGTGGAAGAAAAACAAGCAAGAGTGTCCAAACTGTCGTGCTTCCATAACGTCAGAGACACGATCTTTAGTTGTAGATAATTTCATTGAAAAAATTGTGCCAACTCTGTCTGAAGAAATGAAGAAGAAGAGAGCAGATATTGTTGCTGAGAGAAAAGGTATTGTGCCTGTGACACTATAGATTAGGCATATTCCTGTGACTAGGATTAACCCTTTTGTCCCAGGTAATGTAAGACCCGGTGGACACCCATGCAGACATATTTTGTTGATTTTTTATTTTATTTTTTTTTGAGCCACAGTTGAAAACTGGCATTTCAGGAATAAAATTAGTGCAGTCACTCAAAGTGTACTGTTGTAACTGGTGTGCACTGTGCCCACGACCTCATTGAGGGGATGGGGAGGAGGTGTGAGTCCCATTGTATGTATCGCTGTCTTCCCCGCTGGCTGCCTCAATAAACTTGACATCATTGAGGTCCGTTTCCTAAACTGATACTATATCAATGCCACTCAGAGGAGCGAGGTGGTGAGTAACTGGACCACTAGACTTGAGACAAAGATTATGGGCGAGTTGAGTAGCCAAATAAATAAATATCATTTACTAAGTACTACGTCCTGCCTGGAGATTCAAACTATGCCGTGAAAATTAAATACGTAGAAGAATGTCTCCCTGGTGTTGCTATGGTGGGCGTAAAAGAATGTCTCCCTGGTGTTGCTATGGTGGGCGTAAAGGAATGTCTCCCTGGTGTTGCTATGGTGGGCGTAAAGGAATGTCTCCCTGGTGTTGCTATGGTGGGGGTAAAGGAATGTCTCCTTGGTGTTGCTATGATGGGCGTAAAGGAATGTTCCCCGGGCTCTAAGGGTTAAGCATCTTTCTTAATTATTATACAGTATAGTCTGCATTTACGCGGTCAATTGAACCCGTGGAGGTCCACGTAAAACGAGAAACGCGTAAATGAAATAACAGAACATGGGATTAATTGAAATAGAGACTGGGCCGACCCCCAAACTCCACTTTTTCCGACACAATACGTATTTTGTAGTAAAAATAACATCTTAATTTTATGATGGTATGCACACAATTAATAATTAAGAGAAATATCAATAATATTAGGTTTTTTAACACTTACGTTAGTAGAAAAGCTGGGTCGGCACACGTGGATGGTGGCTGGTTCCGAGGCAGAGGGCAGATTAGTTGCCCTCCGGTGAATCACTTTCACTACTCGCAGAGGTTTGCAGGGCCTCCCAGACAAACCCCTCAAAGTCCATATCGTCACTATCACTGACTTGGGCTGGCTGTGGTTGTGGTGGGTTGCGGGAGAGGAAGTCTTCGATACTAGGTTGACGACTAGCATTGATGTTGTCGAGATAGATCTGGATATACGGCTCCATAACTTTCGACAGAAGGTTATTAGACACTTCATACCGATGCTTGACTGTGTCTTTGTCAAGGATGAGCTTAATTTTCTCCCCCAACTCGATGATTTCCTTCACATTATCGTGACTTGGTCCAAGTTCAAGGTTTTTCTGGGGTGGTGGGGGTCCAGCAGAGGCCATTGTGAAGGGAATAGCGGGCACAAGAGAGAACTGTATGTACGCGGAGAACTGAGAACGATGAGACAGGCCCGGCTAGGTCAGTGACTTCTACCCTCTGGTGGCAGGGCACGTCATGTTACATTAGACCAATCACAGCTAGCGGCGGAGGGAATGCGTGGCCCAATCACAGTCCGATACGTCATATGACGTCAGCGATAACGTAAGAGCGGCCTAATGCGCACCACTCACCGCACCGCTTCCCGCGTGTGGTCAAGAATGGACCGCTTGGGTAAAAAATGGCGCCGCGGTCTGGGCCTCTCCAGGCGCTCGCAGCGCAAAAGACCAAATTTACAGCGTAATTAAAACATTTCATTCTGGCAAGGCACCGCGTAAATGACCAAACACGTAAACAAAAACCATGTAAATGCAGACTATGCTGTACAGTAAGTGTACAGCTTTAACCCCTAGGCTTCAGTTCACGTCTAATGACGTGTGTATGTAGAGCTTCGGGTAAAATAATATGGCATTTTGATCTTTCACGGGCCTGTTTGAATAAAAAGGGCATGCCTGGCTAGAGTATGTTGCTATTTTTATTTCATTCACTCACACTTGAGAGCCTCCCAGCCTTTTCTCATTAGCTTCTCATCTTTTATGATATAGACATCTCGCCCTTAGACTTGACTTACTTCACCCTATATTTCTAACGCCTCCCCCCCCCAACCCCGAAGAACAAATCTACTATTGTGATCAATTACTGGAGCAGTAATAATGATTGTTAATAGTTTAAATAGTAATAACATAGTAAAACAAGTGTCCTGTATCTCATACTTCCTACAAATTAGTGTGATTACCTCATTACTGTCACACACTCACACACACACACACACACACACACACACACACACACGAGAGAGACTCTTCCTTGCCTTAGTGTTACCAACCTGCGAGAAGGACATCTATGTATTTCCTGTTTATATCAGGCATGGCCAGTTTGTAAGACTAGAATAGCCCGAAGCCCAAGGGTTAATGAGTGTTTTCTGTTATGGTGTTGTCCATATAAAATTACAAATATTATAATTCATAAATTACAAAGATTTTTATGTCTTAAAGTTTTCACTATTATTATTATTATTGTTGTTATTACCATAGTCCCTCGGTTAACGAGCACAATTCGTTCCAGAAGGTTGCTTGTTAACCGAAAAATTCGTTAACTGAAACCATTGTTTCATTGGGTTTTTGGGTAATTGGTTCCAGCTCACAGATAATTACATACAAACTAAAAATAAATGCAGTAAAGTACACTTACTTTGAGGTGTGTTTGTAGAAGGCTCCTGGTTGATGATGATGATGATGAGAATTAGAATGGGGATGGAGGAGTAGGGAGAAGAGAAGGCATTGGGGTGGAAGAGAAGTCGCCCCATGCTGCCATTTCACCCATAAAATTTTAGTTCACTTGGTGTAATTCAAGATTATTTTCTTTAAATCAACACTGCACTGCATTATATATTATAAATATGTAAATTATATTTCAAAACGACCAATAATTTGACTGGAAACACAGAAAAAAGCGTTTATGTTGATGAGAGTCTGTAGCAAGATGTTACCTCCACCGAAAAGACACAGAAACTGATGCCTGTATGGTGTGTTGACAGGCTGTTTGGCATGCAAAAAACTAGTTTCCTGTACTTAAATTATGTTAAATAATTGTTAAAATGACTAAAAAATTTAATATAAGACTTTTAAAATTATTGAATAGTACAAACTTCTTGATATTTACTAAAATAGTAAGGAATTTAAGTCCTGGAACCGATTACTATATTGGCGGACTAATATGACCGCTAGTGTGCAAGCGAAAACATGTTGAGGGGCGCTCGTAAGGAATTCGTTATTCGAGGGAATGCTCGTTAACTGAGGTTAAGAATCTTATGGAAGGTAATTTGTTAACCGAAATTTCGTTAACCGAGGGATCACTGTATTATTATTATTATTATTATTATTATTATTGCAGTAGTATGGGTACTCTGTACTGTAATTAATTAGTAATTAATTAATTCAATTATTTTCTTCCAGCTGAAATAGAAGTATGCTCTTTGGCCCAGGCTGCAGCAGCAACACAAAGGGGAAGAAGAGGAAGGAGAAGAGGAGCAGGAAGACAAAATGCTCCAAACAGAGCTGGGTAAATAAATCTTAAAGCTATGGTAGTCAGAAGAAGTACAGTAGAACCTCACTAATTCAGCCTCCACTAATTTGAAGTATTGTACTTGCTAATTTGTACACTTTTTTATGACAAAATATTTAAAAAAATTGGAAAAGATTTCTGCAAATTGTATGATTTATTCAAAGTTTGTGTAAAATTGACCTAGGTGTTTGCATACTAGGGCACCAATTTGAGCATTCCATCACACTTCTGTTTTATAAACACGTTCTTTGTGGAAGTTCAGATGAACTAGATATGTCATCCTCCTGTACAACCACTACTGGCTTAGAATAATGGGGAGGAGATGTAATGTACACTTTTTTTATAAGTATTATCTACAATATATACCAATAACATTCTTCACAACACTGTCAGGTCCAACTTAAGTCAGGGTGAACTGCACACTTGACCCAATCCCCACTCTGGTACATACAGTCCCTGTTTTTCTAGTACAGTGGCCCCTCGGTTAACGAACTCAATCCGTTCCAGAAGGTCGTTCGTTAACCGAAACGTTCGTTAACCGAAACCATTGTTTCAATGGGTTTTTGGGTAATTGGTTCCAGCTCACCGAAAATTTCCTAACTTCAACAAAAATGGCGGAAAAATTTACTTACTTTGAGGTGTGTATGTAGAAGGCTCCTGGATGATGGTGATGATGTGCATTTGAAGTGGGAGGTGCAGGAGGAGAAGGGAGAAGAGAAGGAAGTGGAGGTGGAGGAGAAGCATTTTACTGCTTCTTGGAAGGTGAGTTACCTTCCATGAAAATGTCAGGAACCTCTGGACTGACAGATTCTCCACCATGAACATCCTCTCTCCTTCTTGAAGTGGAAGGCTGAGGGCTAGCATCTTGTTCCCTCTGCCTTTTACTGAAGAAAGTGTCAATTGTGGTCTGTGGGGCATCTGTCCTCCTCACCATTAACTTATGTTTAAAGAAGGAGACCACTGAGTCCTCAACATGACACAAAGTTAGTTCAGTTTTTTCCACTTCTGGGTGCTTTGAAGCCAGTTCCCTGAACTTCTCCCAGTGGTAAATCACATCTTTCAACTGTTTAGCTGACATATGGTCATCACTTTCAATTTCCTCCTCACCACTGTCAGCCTCTACCCGTAACATCTCATCCAGTTCCTTCAAGTCATAAGGAGTAAGTTCCTCCTCATGAGACATCACAAGCTCTTCCACATCCTTCTCCTCCACTTCAAGGCCCAATGACTGACCAATGGACACAATCTCCTGGTCCAACTCTGTGTCATCCTCAAATCCCTCAAAATCATGGACTACTGATGGCCACAGTGCTTTCCATGAAGAAGTGAGGGTTCTATTGGAGACTTCTTGCCATGATGACACAATCAATTTTACAGCCTCCAGGACGTTGAATTGTGTCTTCCAGAACTGTTTCAGTGTTAGTTCAGGATCAATGGAAGTTGCCTGATGACACCTCCTAAACATTTTCTTCATGTACAACTTCTTGAAGTTGCTGATTACATTCTGGTCCATTGGCTGTATGAGTGATGTAGTGTTTGGAGGCAAAAACAACACTTTCACAAAGTCAAATTGATACTCCAAATTTCTGGCAAGGTCAGGGTCATGACCAGGAGCATTATCCATGAGGAGAAGAGCCTTTAAAGGAAGTTTATTGGTGGTTAGGTAGCTCTTGACAGAGGGGCAAAACACATCAACAGCCCATTCATTAAAGAACTGTCTTGTCACCCATGCCTTACAGTTGGACTTCCAATAAACTCCAAGCATTGTTCTTACCACTTTCTGTTGCTTGAACACCCTGGGGTTTTCAGAGTGGTAGACAAGCATAGGCTTCAGTCGGAAATCCCCTGAAGCATTGGCACCAAGCAATAGAGTGAGACGGTCTTTCATGGGTTTATGCCCAGGTAAAGAGGCTTCATCCTTGGTGATGAATGTTCTTTTGGGCATCTTTTTCCAGAACAGCCCAGTTTCGTCAACATTGAACACTTGCTGTGGAAGATAATTTTCTACTTCCATCAGTTTTTTAAATTCAATTAAAAACTTTGCTGCCCCTTCTTTATCAGCACTAGCAGCTTCACCATGCCTAACAACACTTAAAATGTCACTTCTTTTCTTAAATTTTTCGAACCAGCCTTTGCTAGCCCGAAAATCTTCAAATTCTGTTCCTGAAGAACCAGGTTGATCTGCCTTTAAATGTTCATAAATCTCCCTGGCTCTTTCACAAATGAAATCACCAGAAACTGAATCACCTTTCATCTGTTTTTCCCTAATCCAGATGATAAGTAACCTCTCAGTTTCTACGATTAGGGATCTACTTTTAAACACTCTTGTAGATTTGTCTCTCACGTTCACTTCCTTAAATTTGTCTTTTTGTGCAAGAATTGTCGACACAGTTGATGCCGACATGCCATATTCTTTGCATAGCGCATTTGATTTAATACCTTGTTCGTGTTTTTTTATTATTTCCTGCTTTATTTGGATTGAAATCACTTTTCTTGATCTCTTAGGCCCCATGCTGGATTCAAACAATGGCAACACGTATTTTTCAAAGTTAAACTAGCTGTAAATAAAGAATATTTTCTTTAAAATAACACTGCACTGCACTATATATTGTCAATATGTAAAATAATTTTCAAAATGACCAATAATTTGCTTGGAAACACAGAAAAAAAGCGTTTAGTTGAAGAGAGTCTCAAGCAAGATGTTACCTCCAGTGAAAACAGAGAGAGACTGACGCCTGTTTGCTGTGTTAAGAGGCTGGATGCCGCGCATTAAACTAGTCACTTTACCTTCAATTTTGTTCAATAATTGTTAAAATGACTAAAAAATTGAATATTAAACTTTTAAAATTATTGAATAGTATAAACTTCTTGATATTTACAAAAATAGTAAGGAATTTAAGCCCTAGAACCGATTAATGTATTGGCGGACTGATACTAAAGCTGGTTGCCCGGTCAGTGCAAGCGAAAACATGTTGAGGTCGGTTCGTAAGAAGTTCGTTAAGCGAAATTTTTTTCGTTAACCGAATTGAAGATCCTTATGGAAGGCAGTTCGTTAATCGAAATTATGTTAACCGAGGTGTTCGTTAAACGAGGGGTCACTGTACAGTGGTCCCTCGGTTAACGAGCGCCTCGGTTAACGAGATTTCGGTTAACGAGTTACCTTCCATAGGATTCTTAACTTCGGTTAACGAGCAATCCCTCGATTAACGAGTTTCTTACGAGCCGACCTCCATATGTTTTAGCTTGCATTTGGCTGTCCACCAGCTGTAGTATTAGTCCGCCAATACAGTAATCGGTTCTAGGGCTTAAATTTCTTACCCTTTTAGTAAATATCAAGTTTATACTATTCAATAATTTTAAAAGTTTAATATTAAATTTTTTAGTCATTTTAACAATTATTGAACATAATTGAAGGTAGGGTCACTAGTTTGTGGCACGCCATCCAGCCTGCCAACACAGCATACAGGCGTCAGTCTTTTGTCTTTTCAGTGGAGGTAACATCTTGCTTGAGACTCTCTTCAACTAAAATGTGTTTACAAGCAAATTATTGTCATTTTGACATTTATTTTACACATTGACAATATATAATGCAGTGCAGTGTTGATTTAAAGAAAATAAACTTGAATTCCACCAAGAGAACTAAAATTTTATGGGTGAAATGGCGCCATGGGGTGACTTCTCTTCCACCCCAATGCCATCTCTTCTCCCTTCTCCTCCACCCCCATTCTAATTCCCATCATCATCATCATCCAGGAGCCTTCTACATACACACCTCAAAGTAAGTGTACTTTTCTACCTTTTTTGTTGAATTTAGACAATTTTCAGTGAGCTGGAACCAATTACCCAAAAACCCATTGAAACAATGGTTTCGGTTAACGAGTTTTTCGGTTAACGAGCAACCTTGTAGAACGGATTGTGCTCGTTAACCGAGGGACCACTGTAATGTCTTAGTTTGGTCCTCCTACAGTTCCAACACGTGTAATCTAAACAACATTAAGTGCATTCAACAAATTTATATTCTGGTAATTTGAATGGGTTAAAGCTCCAAGGATGTTGAATTAGCAAGGTTTGAGTGTACAGTATTTGTAATACAATACTGTAGTTATACATTTTCATTGTTGACCTGTTAATTATTTGAATAATAATGAGGTCTTTGATAATGAATTTTGAGAGATGTAGAAATAATTAAGGATTTTGTAGCTTTTTGATAAAAAAATTAAAATTACAGTAGAGTTTAACTTTTATGTTAACTTATTAGCATTTGTAACTCATTGCTTAGTCTCCCATGTAAGTCTTAATTTTTAGAAATATTTTTTTCTTTCTTTCCTTTTTCTTTTACTTTATGTCCTGTGAGCATTTTAAGAATGGTAGGATCAAATACAGTGGTCCCTCGCTTAACGAGCACAATTCGTTCCAGAAGGTTGCTCGTTAACCGAAAAATTCGTTAACCGAAACCATTGTTTCAATGGGATTTTGGGTAATTGGTTCCAGCTCACCGAAAATTACATACAAACTAAAAATAAATGCAGTAAAGTACACTTACTTTGAGGTGTGCATGTAGAAGGCTCCTGGTTGATGATGATGATGATGATGGGAATTAGAATGGGGGTGGAGGAGAAGGGAGAAGAGAAGGCATTGGGGTGGAAGAGAAGTCACCCCATGCTGCCATTTCACCCATAAAATTTTAGTTTTCATGGTGTAATTCAAGATTATTGTCTTTAAATCAACACTGCACTGCATTATATAGTGTCAATATGTAAAATATTTCAAAATGACCAATAATTTGACTGGAAACACAGAAAAAAGGCATTTATGTTGAAGAGTCTCAAACAAGATGTTCCTTCCTCTGAACTGGTAAACAAACTGACACCAAGCTAGGTTTGTTGAATGGCTGTTTGGCGCGCAAAAAACTAGCTTCCTCTATTTCAATTATGTTCAATAATTGTTAAAATTACTGAAAAATTTAATATAAAACTTTAAAAATTATTGAATAGTAC